CGAGCATCTTCCACCCAGATCCTCCAAATTCCAGTAGGCGGGGGTCACATCCACCACCTGGCCCCCTGGCGCCGTGTAATCCCATCAGCGGCCAAGACTCAGAGACTATAAAATCCAGATCTCGGAACCGCGCGGCCACATTTGCGGCCGCGCGACATCTTAACAGAACTTTTTTTTATGACATCTTATTGTCTTATTTCTACTTTGGACAAACTTGCAGGCTATCGAATGTAGCCTGCCCACAGGGCAGAATCTGGCAAACTCCCCGTGGCGTACCAAATATGCCAAATACCAGTAACATTGATGGGTCGCACTCTCCTAAACAGCCTTGAATATAATCTCAGGGCTAGGATGAAAGAGACGTTACTGGGGCCTGCTCGAGGCAATCGACGAATAACAGGATGATGAAATGAAAAAAAATGAAAAAAGTCCACATATACTTCTAAAAACTTCACTTGTAATAAAGGGTTAATGAAGTGTGTCTGTGTGTGTGTGTGTGTGTGTGTGTGTGTGTGTGTGTGTGTGTAGAAACCAACACATGATGAGCCAGGTTTGATCCCAGGCACCACACTGGGTCCCCTCAGTCCTGCTAGGAGTGGTCCCTGAGCCCAGAGCTGAAAGTAAGCTCTGAACACACACACACACACACACACACACACACACACACACTGCATGGTTCCCCAACAGGGTATAATTGCCTCCAAGACTGTTGGGTGTGGTCCCCAATCAAAACACAAAGACCAAAAACTAAGACTCCGGATTAAAAAAAAAAAAGAGGCTATCTTGGGGCTCAAAGAGCCTCTTTTGCATTATCTCCTCTGGCCCCCACACACGGAAACTTCCTCTCTGGGTTGGCCCGAGTCAGGGAGGTGAGATGGCGCATAACTGCTGGCTGTGTGGAAAGATTTCACAGACACGGATAAAATCAGAAACAACTGAAACTGAGCCGGAGCAAACAGTACAGCGGGGAGGGCGTTTGCCTCGAATGCAGCTGACCCGGGTCCAATCCCACGCACCCCTACGGTCCCCCGAGCACTACCAGGAGTAATTCCTGAGTGCTGAGCCAGGAGCAAGCCTCAAGTATCACTGGGTGTGACCCCAACACAAAACAAAAAGAGAGGCTGGAGCGATAGCACAGCAGGTAGGGCGTTTGCCTTGCACACGGCCAACCCAGGTTCGATTCCCACCATCCCATAGGGTCCCCTGAGCTGCTGCCAGGAGTCATTCCTGAGTGCAGAGCCAGGAGTAACCCGTGTGCATCACCAGGTGTGACCCAAAAAGCCAAAAAAAAAAAAAAAGACGGAGAAGGGAGTTTGTGCAGACAGTCAATCTCTTCTGAGACCCAGCGGTGAGTGTGTTAAGCTGGGCCAATCAATAGGTGAGAGACATGACGGTGACTGTGGGATGTGGGAGTGTGGCAGGGGTCGGGGGAGGGGTCGCCTGGCCCCATCCCAAGAAGACCCCAGAGTTCTCTGTCGAAAAAACCCCCGGTGTACCTGAAATTTCCGGCAGTTCGAGGTCTCTGCAGAGCTCAGCCGTGAGGTGGTGGAGTCTGGCCGCTGGCATGGGGGCAGATACTGCCGTGAGTGTGGCCGCCAGGGCTTTGGCAGGTGGGTGAGAAGGGAGACTGCGCAGAAGAAACTACAAGGAAGGCGGCTTGCAGGCACCAGACTGGAGTCGGTCCCTCCCCGCACCCCAACACCGCAGCCCCTAGCACTGAACTGCTCCCCATGGCTGAGAGTCGCCCAGAAGGTATGTGGACTGTGTGGAAACTCTGTACACCCCCCCGGGTTGCCGCCAAGGAGCCAGAGAGATGAGAACTCAGTGGGTTAGAGCATGTGCTTAACAGGCAGGAGATGTGGGCTCACTCCATGTGCCCTGAGCACTGCCTGGTGTAGGTCCTTCCCCCCCCCATATTTAAATTTTATTATCAAAAGCTTACCCGCAGCATTAAAAAATGGATGGCTTAAAACAAAAACAAAAACAAACAAAAAGGGGCTGGAGCGAGAGCACAGTGGGTAGAGCGTTTGCCTTGCACACGGCCAACCCGGGTTCGATTCCCAGCATCCCATATGGTCCCCTGAGCACTGCCAGGGGTAACTCCTGAGTGCAGAGCCAGGAGGAACCCCTGTGGATTGCCAGGTGTGATCCCCCCCTAAAAAAACCCCAGAAAAATGAATGGTTTGTGGGGGTTGGAGAGATAGTACAGTGGGTGGAAAATCAGCCTTGCAGGAGGCTGACCTGGGTTTGTTTGCCGGTACCCCCATACAAGCCCCTGAGCATCACCAGCAGTTATCTCTGAGCACAGAGCAAGGAGTAGGCCCTGAGCACTGCTAGGTGTGGGCCCAAAGCAGAAACAAAAGAGAAAGTATGATCTGGGGCCAGAAGGAGGTTAGATGCTTGCTGTGCACAACAGCAGCTGTCCTGTTGATCCCTGCCATCAACTGTGATCCTGCTGAGTCCTGGCAGGAGTGCCCCTGAGCACTGCCAGTGTGACTCTCAAACCAAAAACCAAACACCGCCCCACCAGGGGGACATAACACCGTTTACATATGCTGAAAACTGTGTCCTTTTCAATTATTTTAACTCATGGAAGATTCTAGAAGTCAAACACTGCAGAGATGCACAACCCAACTCGCTTCTGACCACTGGAAGTGTCTGCCTTCCACGGTCCTGGACTCTGGTTCCTGGGTTCTGTCCAGCTCTTCGCTGAGACAGGCCTCACCCTAGGGAGCTGCAGTGACCTGGCTGGGGCCAGGAGGGATGAGATGGGCCAAGACGCCGAAGACCAAGGGGGCTCTTTCACTATTTTCCATCACGAGAACGTGTGCTGACTGCTGGCTGTAGATGCAGGATGTTCAGATGGTCTCTGAAATGCTTTTTTCACCGCTATGACACTAATAACTGAGAATGCACACTGGACAGGAACTGAGTGTTGAAAATAGGTAAAGGGATATTCTTGATAACCTTTCAGGATCAATATTGCAAACCTCAATGCCCAAAAGGAGAGAGGAAGAGAGGAAGAACGGGAGAGAAGAGTGAAGGAGAGAGTGAGAGAGAGACAGGGAGAGAGAGAGAGAGTGAGAGAGAGAACACCTGCCATAGAGGCAGGCAGTGGGTAGGGACACTGGTGGAGGGATGGGTGTTGGAACACTGTGCAACTGAAATCCAATTATGAACAGCTTTGTAAGGGTCTATGTCACAGTGATTCAATAAAAAAAAAAAGCTTAAAAAAATTATAGCTCTTTGTGTGAGTGGTCACATCTAGCATTGCTCAGGGCTTACTCTTAGCTCTGTGCTCAGAAATCCGTCCTGCCAGGGACTGAACCAAGCCAACTGTACTCAAAGGAAGAGTCTTACCTCCTATCTCTCCAGCCCCTATAAACACCTGTGCATTTCATTTTATTTCTGTTGGACTTTTTTTCTGCATCTGCATTTGGACTGAAATCTGCACCCTCTGTAACAGGGCACAGGGAACGAATAATGACCAGAACCAGTTTCGTCTCAACGCAAAGGAGCTCAGGGGTCCTCCTGATGCCCCAGAAAAGCATCCAGCTGCCCCCCACACCCTGGAAAAGCCACCGTTCAGAGCAAGAGGACAGATACTGGGGCTACACTGAAATAAGTAGAAACTCGGGACTTTTCCAAAAACATGAACAGTGGATGCTTGCCCGGTAGGGTGCAGAGCACGGACTGAGACGTGTCAGTCAGGGAAACGGGACGTGGCCCACTTGTCATTCTCCTGCGATGCGACTGTGGCCGCGTCTGTTCTGCTCTCTTGAGCTTCATCTTCTGAACCGGGATGGGCCGTACGTGGGGACAGGAAGAGCCCTTCCGCACGCTGCCAGTGGTCCCCGTTAGTCACGTCCTTTCTTTTTTTTTTGCTTTTTGGGTCACACCTGGTGATGCACAGGGGTTCCTCCTCGCTCATGCACTCAGGACTCACTCCTGGCGGTGCTCAGGGGACCCTATGGGATGCTGGGAATCGAACCCAGGTCGGCCGCATGCAAGGCAAACGCCCTACCCCCTGTGCTATCTCTTCAGCCTAAGTCACGTCCTTTCTTCCTTTTTTTTTTCTTTTTGGGTCACTCCCAGAGATGCTCAGCGATTACTCCTGGCTCTGCATTCAGGAATTACCGCTGGCGGTGCTATGGGTACCCTATGGGATGCTGGGAATCAAACCCAGGTCGGCCGCGTGCAAGGCCAACGCCCTCCCCTCTGTGCTATCGCTCCAGCCTCCTAGTCACGCCCTTTGGACCCCCACCCCACAAAGGCTCTGGGCTCTCAGCTTTTCCATGTTGGCTGGAAAGAGTGAAAATTCCGACACAAGTGGTTTAAGAACATCAACATTTATTTAACATGATAAAAAAGAAATGAGATATGAACATTTGCATTTAAACAATAGTAAGGAGCTCAATACTTACATGTGCTCATTGTATAGTATATACACAATGAACATAATTACATTTGTACACAAACTAAGGGACTGGATTTGAAAACCTGCTTATTGCTGTCCACATCTATTCCAATGAAGTGGAAGTCCAGTACTTCAAGATACCTACATGTGTAACTGTCTGCGGGGAAGTTAAGCGGTAAATGTTTGCGCGGAAGCTGACAGGGGGGGATAGCGTTAACTGCTGACGTGGCAATCGGACTGAGAAAGAGTTGGAGCAGGAAGCGAGACATACTTCACCCAGCAATAATAAAATGGCACATTTTTAAATATATATATATAAATTTTTTTTCTTTTTACAAAGCAAGTGTGAAACAAAGCATCACAGTAGCTGAAATGGGAAGGGGGAGGATTAAAAAAAAATAATAATAACAAGAAAGAAAGCGAGCTCAGTCGGAAAGAACTAAATCTATGTACTGGAAAGGAGAAAGGAATTGGAATCCACCTCGACTGGAGAAACGCCGAGGCCTGGGACCTGGCTGGAGGGAGGGCAGCTCGGCGGGGCCCGCGGGAGTCAGCACCGGGGCGGGCCGGCTCGGAACCGCGGCAGCGCGAGCTGGTGTGAGTGAGACCTGGACATCACGGAGTGGACACATGGGCCATTAAAGCTGTTTTGGAATAAACATTTTCCAGAAGTGATAAAACGATGCTCTGTGGTTGAAAGCATCAGAACTATGAATTTCATAGATTTAAAATATACTGTACAATATCTTCTCACGTAGCAGGAGGTCCAAAGGCCTTTGCTCTCCGTGGTTCTGACGGAGGGCAGGAGAGCTGGAAGAGAGAGAGAGAGGGCGATTGGTGGACATCCGAAGAGCCGGGGCCGTGACCTCAAGTGACTGCAGGGACACTGCCTACGATCCGCCCGATGAGAGGCTTTTGCAAAACCTACACCACAAGCAAAAGGAGATTTTTCTCTTCATTTTCCTCTCCACAGATGGAGTTCATTTTTTTTTTCCCCCTTGCTTTTTTGGGGTCACACCTGGTGATGCTCAGGGATTACTCTTGGCGGCTCTGTACCCAGGAATTGCTCCTGGCGGTGCACAGATGACCATACAGGATGCTGTGGATTGAACCTGGGTTGGCTGTATGCAGGGTAAATGCTATACTATTGCTCCAGCCCCGAATAAGAGTTGTTTAAGCAAAAAATAAATAACAAAAAATAACAAACCCGAGTGAACAGCAGTTTGTAGTAAAAAAACAAAAAAACAAAAAGCAAAAAAACAAAAAAAACAAACCAATAAAAAAACAAAAAAGAGGAACCTAAGCTTGAATTTCTTTTTGACTTTCTGGGTCATGCCCGGCGATGCACAGGGGTTACTCCTGGCTCATGAACTCAAGAATTACTCCTGGCAGTGCTCGGGGGACCATATGGGATGCTGGGAATCGAACCCAGGTCGGCCTCGTGCAAGGCAACCACCCACCCCGCCCCGCTGTGCTACTGTTCTGGCCCCGCCGAGCCTGAATTTCTAAGATCACGTGACTCTGGGAGCAGATCAGCTTAGCCTCAGACACTCCTCGAGGATCCCGTGAGCAGCCCAAGGAGTCTGTTGTTCTCCCTCTCGCCTAAGCAGCGCACAGGGCATTCCAAGGGGCAGTGCCCTGGGCTGTGGAACATCCGGGGTCACCGTCCCCCATCCCGGCACAGAATGCCAGTAGTTCTGGACATGAAAGCCGGTAAGAGCTACAGACGGGCCTGCAAGTGCACTGGAATTCTGACCTGAGCGTTGAGTTGAAGCCAGGGGCCGTGGGCAGCCCTGTGGGGCTACTGCTCCACGGGCTGGACAGAGCCTGTCCACCCACCGCGGGGCACCCCGGGAACCAAGGAGTGGAAGGTGGGTTCTTCCCACGCTCACTGAACCCAGCTGCCGGGGCCGAACGACTTGAGTTCCAAGCATGCCCGTGTCTGAGCCACGGCACCCTCGGTGGCCCCCTGAGCCTTGAGCACAGCTGGGTGTGGCCCCAGAAAATGAAGATCCCACCCATTGTGAGAGGGCGTGAACAGAAGCAGATTCTGGAAAAACAAATAAATAAATAAAAAAGAGCTAGGAGATGTACAACGGTTGGAGGGACGGGTGCTGGAACACTGTATGACTGAAATCTAATCCAGTCTGAAAGGGTCTCACAGTGATTCAATTAAAAAGTTAAAAAAAAAAGTTAAAAAGTTAAAAAAAAGCGGCTGGAGTGATAGCACTGCGGGTCGGGTGTTTGCCTTGCACGCGGCTGACCCAGGCTCAATTCCCAGCATCCCATAGGGTCCCCTGAGCACTACCAGGAGGGATTCCTGAGTGCAAAGCCAGGAGTAACCCCTGAGCATCGCTGGGTGTGACCCAAAAAGAAAAAAAAAAAGTTAAAAAAAAGTCAAAAAAGTTTAAAAAAGTAAAAAAAAAAAAAATCAAAAATCTTGAAAAAAAATCCTATAAATAAAAAAGAAAGCACAAGGGCTGGAGCAATAGCACAGCGGGGAGGGCGTTTGCCTTGCACACCGCCGACCGGGGTTCGATTCCCAGCATCCCATATGGTCCCCTGAGCACCGCCAGGGGTGATCCCTGAGTGCAGAGCCAGGAGTAACCTCTGTGCATCGCTGGGTGTGACTCAAAAAGAAAAAAAAAAACAAGAACAAAAAAGACAGCACGATTGGATAAGCTTATTTTGTCCTAAGCGAGGGGCGGGCTGTGAAGCCCCCAGCAGGGGCGTGGCCCCCGGGGAGCATGTGGGCGCATCTCGCAGCCAGGCACACCAACCCGGGTAGGGGCAGCACAGCATGTGGACCCAAAGTCCATCCCGGGAACCGCACGGTCCTCTGAACTCCCTTGGAGTGACCCCTGAGCACTGGGCCTGTTTGCATCCCACACCCGGGTTCACGCTTGCCACTAGGAACCCAAAGGGAGCCCCGGAGGCGGGATGGGAGGTGGTTACCATGGCAGCGGGATGGGCGACCGGTTACTTGGATGAAATAAGCAGGAAGCAGGAAGGCGGTGGAGGGTCCTGCACGCCACCCCCCCCCCCCCCCCCCCCCCCCGCGACCCACCCGGCAGTTGGGGACACCGCGCGCAGCCCCGGTCCTCTCTCTTGTACCCAAAGCGGGCTCTGATGCGCGCGGCTAAGGGGTAGGAGGGCTAAGTGGGCAGCGCTGGGGGGGCGGGGTGGGGGTGATGGTGGTGATACGTACTGGGGCCGGCGCTACACACACATGAAGTGGGACCCTTCGGTGAGCTGCGGCTGCGGAGCTGCAGCGGGGGTCGCCGAGGGCTCCGGGGGCGGGGACAGGCTTCTCACTGCAACACAAGACGAGATGCGGCTTCAGGGCGCATTCCTGCCCAGCTCCCGGTTCCTTTCGCATTTGGCCTGGTTTATTTTTGGTTTTGGGGGGCCACCCCTGGCAGGTCTCAGGGTTCCTTGCTGCTCCCTGCTTGAGGGGGTCTCTCCTAGTGGGGCCACGCGGAAGGCGAGCGCCCCACGGGCTAAGTTTGCTGGGCAGAAACAGTTCTGGGCCAGAACTGGCCAGAACGATTCTCAAAAACTTTTCCCCACTCCTCTCTCCTTATGACTTTTTTTTTTCCTTTTTGGGGTCAAACCCAGTGATGCTCAGGGGTTACTCCTGGCTTAGCAGTCAGGAATTACTCCTGGTGGTGCTCGGGGGACCATATACGATGCTGGGAATCGAACCCGGGTCGGCCACATGCAAGGCAAACTATCGCTCTGATCCTCCTTATGGACTGTCAATTCTTTATCTGTTTGGGGGGCCCACCCCGGCAGTACCCAGGGCTCACTGCTGGTGGGAATGCACGCAAAGCATTAAGGGAAAGCCCTCCAACCCCGAGAGGAGCCATGGTCCCCATGGCCTTACCTGCCACGCTCTGGTTCCCTCGGGAAGCCTCAGCGGGGAGTTCGTAGGGAGACAGAGTGTCCTCTGGCTCGGGGGGACTGGTCTTTGTGACTTCCTCCGGGGGACCGTCCGGCTTGTGATTTGTGATCTGGGTCTCGTCTTGAGGGCTGAGGAAAGGAGATTGATGTTTCAAATCTGTTATTAGGCAACAATTCCCCTCTGTGACTTTGAATCATGATGATTATAAGCGAGGAGACAGGCCACCAACTCTAGCAATAAGCTTTTGCTTACAATTAGCCTAGTCTCTCATTTCCTGTTCTCTTACAGAAACACCAAAAATTAAAAACAAACAAACAAAAAACAACCCACCCACCCACGAGAGCGATAGCGCAGTGGGTAGGGTATTTCCTTGATGTGGTTGATACGGGTTCAATCCCCAGCATCCCATATATGGTCCCCAGGGCACGGGCAGGAGTAATTCCTGAGTGCAGAGCCAGGAGTGACCCCCCAGAGCAGAGCATCGCTGGGTGTGGCCCAAGCCATCTCTCCCCCAAACTCAACACTCCACCCAATTTTCATCTCAGAAAAAGAAAACACTCATCTCCAATGCTAGCCTACATGCCATTCACTTTGTCCTTTCTCCCGGGAGAGGAGATGGGGGGCTTGAAGGACCCTATGGGGTGCCGGGGACTGAACCCGGGTTGGCAAGCGCCCTACCCACCGTACTCTCTAGCCCCAGGACTTTTCTTTTTGTCGCCTACTGCAAAATTTACCCTTGTCTTTTACTGAGGAGAAAAGTAAAGTAAGTAAAGTAAAGGCCCTCCCGTTGATCGTCGATTTGCTCGAGCGGGCCCAGTAACGTCTCCATTGGAGACTTTGTTGTTACTGTGTCTGGCATATCGAATACTCTCGGTAGCTTGCCGGGCTCTCCGAGAGGGGCAGAGGAATCGAACTCGGGTCGGCCATGTTGGCCGCTTGTAAGGCGGACGCCCTACCCGCCGATCCTTAACAACATTAAGCCAGCACCTCTCATTTCCAGCACTGGGAGGTTTTTCTTTGTTTCTGGATCACACCAAGCAATGCTCAGGGCTTACTCTCGGAGGAGTCTGGGGAACCCTATGGGGTGCTGGGGAACTGACCCAGGTCAGCGATGTGCAGGACAAGTGTCCTGCCTGTTGGTCTTTTAAAAATGAAGGATGCGAGAAAGGGACCCTCCTTCACTGCTGGTGGGAATGCCGACTGGTTCAGCCCTTTTGGAAAACAGTACGGACGATTCTCAAAAAATTAGAAATTGAGCTCCCATCTGACCCAGCAATACCTCCCCTGGGAATATATCCCAGAGAGGCAAAAAAGTATAGTTGAAGTGACATATCCCTTCTCAGATAGAGAAGGGAGCACCAAATAAAGGGTATTGAGAGGATCCTCCCAGGAGGGAGAAGCATGCTGAAAGTAGACTACAGACCGAACATGATTGCCACTCAATGCCTCTTTTGCAAACACAGCACCCAAAAAGAGAGAGAGAACAAAAGGGAATGCCCTTCCACAGAGGCAGGGTGGGATGGGGGGATAGGGGGTGGGAGGGATGCTGGGACCTGTGGTGGTGGGAAATGGGCACTGGTGGAGGGATGGGTACTTGATCATTGTATAATTGAAACCCAAGCACAAAAATCTGTAAGTCTACAACTGTACCTCATGGCGTTTCACTAATAAAAATTAAAAAAAAAAATGAAGGATGGTACCAAGCACTGATGGTCAAAAAATAAAAGAGGGGCGAGACCGGAGGGTTAGGGCTCATGAATGACGGGGCCACGAGGCAGGCAAGGTGTGGGGGGTGAGGGCTGGGTGAGTCTGAGAAAGGAACTCGCAGAGACTGCGTGCTTGGGACACTCAGACGGGCACTGATGCCACGAGTGCTTCCCTACTCCTCATGTGGCCACGAGAGTCCCACACTCTCTGGCTCTCAAAGTCACTTTTTCTTTTCCATTGAACGGTGCTGGGGTTGAAACCGAGTCTTGGGGTGGGGCGGCGGAGCGAGAGGGAGGCACATGCCTAGCCTGCGGCTGACCCGGGTTCGGTCCCTGGCACCCCATGGTGTCCTTCCTTTGACGGGCCACCTCCTATAGCCCCTCGAGCCCTGCCAGAGTAATTCCGGAGTGCAGAGCCAGGGTGACCCTTGAGCACTGCCAGGGGTGGCCCCAAACCCCAAACCCAAACAAGACAGAAATCCAGAGCCTGAGGCAGGCGGGGCCCCGCCCAGCGCCCCCCCCCCCCCAAGTCCACCAGCTGAAGCAGGAACAATCCTGAGGCTCCCCGGCTGGTCCCCCTAATTATTACCTGCATGGCCCGTCCTCCGGCACCTCCTTCATCCTCCCTTGATCCCTCACTTCCTCAGAACTGATTCCATTTGGCTCAGGTTGGCAAAGCGTTTCACAGAGAACGTTTTCCGTTTTTTTAAGCTACAGGAAAAGAAGGAAAAAAAATCATTTTCTTAAGGCAGTCTTACCACATTTCATAATTTCACATTCCAGAGACCTAAAACGATTCCTAAACAAACATTTCTTTAAACCCGGCCTGTCCAATTACTTTCAGAAATGTACATTTAGATCAACAGCAAAAACCAGTTTGCTTTAGCACTCGGGCAAAACTGGCGAGGCCTTACAGGGCTGAAGCACACTGCCCAGAGCTCTCTGGGGAGCGAAGACACTGGCCAGGAGAAACGCGAGTGAGCACGTGCTTGGTGGGGTCACCTCCCGGCGACACTCAGACCTGGGGGGCCAAGCCCAGACACACTTGGCTCAGCCATGCTGGGGTCACTGGGGCGGGGGACCGGGCTTGGGGTGTCTCCATGAGGCCTATCTCTAGCTCCCTGCCCCTCCACTAGTTGTAAGTATTTATTTTTTGGAACACACCCGGGGATGCTCAGGGGTTACTCCCGATTCTGCACGTAGGACTGACTCCTGGTTCTGGTGCTTAGGGGATCATATGGGATGCTGGGGACACAACTTGGGTCGGCCACTTGCAAGGCAGACACACGCACTAACACTGTACTATCATTCCAGCCGAATCAGTTTTATTATTCCTTAATTATTATTTATTTATTTATTTTTGCTTCTTGGGTCACACCTGGCAATGCACAGGGGTTACTCCTGGCTCTGCACTCAGGAATTACTCCTGGCGGTGCTCGGACCATATGGGATGTTGGGAATCGAACCCGGGTTGGCTGGCCGAGTGCAAGGCAAACGCCCTACTGTACTACAGCTCCAGTCCCCCGGTCAGTTTTAAACTTTCAGTTCGTGTTTTGTTAGGTTTTGAGCCACATCTGGCGGTGTTCGGGGTTTACTTCCGGCTCTGTGCTCAAGGATCTCTCCTGGTGGGCTTGGGGGACCATTTGGGGTGCTGGGATTGAACCCTGGTCGGCTGTGCAAGGCAAGCTCCCCATTGTACTACACTCCAGTCCCAGTGAGTTCTTGGTTGAGGGGTGTTTGGGGGTGTGTGGGGAGAGAGCAAAGGCCTATGCGGCAGAGGAAACCCAACTTTATTGTCTATTTTACTACTTGATAAGTCTTCAGATATCTGGGCCCACCGCTAGGACCATCGCCCTGAAAATTATCTCGGTACCTCTTCCATGAAGTCTGTGCTTTCGGGTTCGACGTCTTTCCGCCGCCCGGCTTCTGGGGCAGGGGTCCCTTGGTTTGGCTTCCCCCCGTTTTCCTCAGTGGAGGCCGCCGGTTCTCTCATGCTGTCGTCTCTCCGCCGCGTCTGTCCGAAAGACACCCAGCTTTGACATGCCACTCAGAGATCTCCTTGCGAGAGACCAACAGAGCAACGACACGCACGCAGGCGGGCTTGCACACTCTTTCTCATCTCTTATTTTACATCTTTTGGTTTTCCTGGCTCACCCCTGGCAGTGCTCGAAGGGTTACTCCTGGCTCTGTGCTCAGAAGCCATACTTCGTGGGGGTTGGGGGCGAGGGGGAAATCAGACACAGTTCCAGGGATGGAACTGGGGCTGGGTGGATGCAAGGCTAGTGCCTTCACCTCTGTTTTCAATCTCATCTTTTGTTTTAATTGTTAGTTTTGGAACTCGTAGAAAGTGCAGTTCCGTAGCTGCTGATCTGCTGACTCTCTACGAGAAAGGTCAGCTCGAGGTGAGCCAGAAAAGGGGGTTTCTAAAAAGCCAGGGAAGAGATTGGACGAAGCTTTTGAAAGGGCAGGGTCAGGGCAGAGAGGTAACACAGCAGGCCGGGCACTGGCCTTGTATGTGGCTGACTTGGGTTCAATCCTTGGCACCACAAACAGTTCCCCCAAGCACCCCCAGGCGCAATCCCTGAGTGCAGAGCCAGGAGTAAGACCTGAAGACCTGAGAGGCAGTGGAGGGAATGAGCTGGCGTAAGTAAGAATGTCCCTGCAAGTGACCCTGTGGTAGGTCTGCACCCAGGGCTACTTCCGGCAGATTGGCTTAGGAATCCAACAACAGGGGCTGGAGCGATAGCACAGTGGGTAGGGCATTTGCCTTGCATCCGGCCTATGTGAGTTTGATCCCCAGCATCCCATGTGGTCCCCTGAGCACCGCCAGGACTAATTCCTGAGTTCAGAGCCAGGAGTAACCCTTGTCCATTGCCAGGTGTGACCCAAAAAGCAAAAGGGGGGGGGAAAGAATCCAACAACAGAAGACAATTCCTACCGCAGAGATCACCACACCTACCCATCACGGCACTGTGACTCTAAGATTCAGAAGGCCTGAGGTGCACAGGAGAAAGCTCAAAGGCTGTCTCTACCTGGGCAAGCCGGAAGGGATTCTCCCGCAGGGTGGCTGGACTCTGGGCAGGGGACGGCTCGCTGGCCCCCAGCACGTATAGCCCCTTCTTCCTCTCCCGGAGGCAGGCCTGCTGGTGCCTCCGGATTCTCTCCATCTGCTCTTCCACCGTCATCCGAGGGCGGGTGCTTTCGGCCAAACAGAGCTGTTCCACGGCACTTCTTGGTCTTTCCTTCAAACCAGACAGGAACGTGAACGGATAAATACAGGATAAATACAGACGCACTCTGAGAAGTATGTGTGGTTTTTGGTTTTGGGGCCAAGTCTGGGGCTCGGGGGGGGGGGGATGGGGTTGCTCAGGTCAGGGTTCACTCCTGGCCCTATGCTCAGGGAGCACTCCTAAGGGTATTGGGGATAGAATCCGGGTCGGCCGTATGTACGGCAAGTGCCCCAGCACCAGAGACTAGTAATTTTAACATTTGTTCTTCAACATCAAAATGGAAAAAGAGTACTGCATTGGGTTTTAAGTTAGCACTTAAGTGGAGCAATTTTCATATACTTGTGAATAACGTAACTATATTATTTCCCATGAAAAACCTTAAACTTGTGGGCTGTAGAGATAGAAACAGCGGGTAGGGCACTTGTCTTGTGTGCAGTCGACCTGAGTTTGATCCCTAGCATCCCATAATGTCCTGAGCACAGCCAGGAGTGATCCCTGGTGACAGAGTCAGGAGTAAGCCCTGAGCACTGTCAGGTGTGGCCCCCAAATCAGAGCAAACAAAGCCCAACCAAACAAATAAATTCCAACACTAAAAACCTTAAAACTGGTTTATACACATTCCTCATATTTTTAACAGACGTTGTCACTTCATAGAGACACTTTAAGTGTTTTCTGTTGGCACTGGTATTCCTCATAAAGATCTTTCCTGTAAAACTAAACTTTTTCTTCAGTATTTTATTTATGTAGAAGTCTCTCCTTAGTGCTTAAGGTAGAGCTAGTTATAAAATACTATAAATTCATCGATATCTTTCTGCTTGATCAGTAATACATTTTTTTGGTCCTCCCCCCCGCCCCATTTTTTTAGCATTATGACTTTTTAAATTTGTTTTTTAAAGCCACATCTGGCAGTGTTCAGGACTTACTCCTAGCTCTGTGCTCAGGATGACTCTTGGTGGGTTTGGGGGGAGCATATCAAACGTGGGTTAGCCACATGCAAAGCAAGTGCCTAACCTGCTGTCATCTCTCTCTAGCTCAACTTTCTAATTTAGAAAAATACCTTTAAAAAAATATTTATTATTTTGTCTTTGGGTCACAGCCGGCAACGCACAGGGGTTACTCCTGGCTTTGCACTCAGGAATTACTCCTGGCGGTGCTGAGGGGACCCTATGGGATGCTGGGAATCGAACCCAGGTCGGCCGCGTGCAAGGCAAACGCCCTACCTGCTGGGCTATCGCTCCAGCCCCAGACAAAGCAAGATTATTAAAAGTTTTTCTTAAATCACGAGGGGATTTTTTTTTTTCCAGGAGACGCTACAAACCAGAGAGGCACAGAGGAAAGTCAGAGCAGGGTTCGAGCCCCCCGACCCAGGGCCGCATACCGTTCGTGACTCCATCATCTTCTTCGTTTTCCGCAAGGTCACGTACGAGGCTATTGTGGAGGACTCGGGTGTGGGCGATTTGGTTCTCGGAGGGACAACTCCGACCGGAAAGTGAGAACCTGAAAACGCAAACCAGACCCTGCTCACACTCATCGCTCCTCTCGGAAGCCTCCGTTTCTGTGGCTCTTAGAAGCAGGAGGCAAATCCCTTTTCTGGAAGGAGCCAGGGGAACGCAGTGGCTAATTAGTTACCAACTAATCCTGTCAGTTCCTCGAAGGAGCTGGCGATGAAGCAGCTCAGGATGCCGACAGGCTCGTGTCGGGTGAGAATCAGGAACCCGGGCCTACCTGGGTCAGCCCAGCTTTGATCCCCGACACCCCACAAGGTTCCCTGAGCATGCCACGAGCAATTCCTGAGTGCAGGGCCTGGAGTCCGTCCTGAGCACCGCTGGGTGTGGGCCCCAAACGGAACAAGAGAAATGAAGTTGCAGGGATGGATGGACGGCACCACACTGGGAAGGATGAATGTCATCAATACCTGACGGATTCTACACCCCCACCACGTCCCTCAGTGGAAAGGAGGCCGCGGCTGAGGGCTGCCCACCTGGTCACACTCTGCCTCTGCTGGAGCCCGAGAACGCCTCCTCTGACACCCTCACGGGACCACCATATGGGTTGCCTGCCTGCAAGGCAAGTGTCCCACCCACCTTAACGATCTCTTGGACCTCCCCAAAGTTCTTATTTTCAATGTTTTAAACCGTCTGCCTACTAATGTTTAAAACGCTGGCCTGTTGGTGGCAGAGCCATGGGACAGCGAGGAGGGCGCTTGCCTTGCACACGGCTGGCTGGTCAAAGCTTGACCCTTGGTGCCCTGGTGGTTCCCTGAGCCCCACCAAGTGATCCCCGAGTGCAGAAGCCAGGAGTAAGCCCTGAACACGGCTGGGTGTGGCCCCAAAGTCAACACAAAACCAAGAAAGCTGGCCCGTGACAAATGGCTCTGACCAAAGTTCCTTCTGTGCTGGGAGATGTGGGGAGACCCACTGGGGTATTTATAGTTTTGGGGTCCCACAGTGTGGTGCTTAGGGGAAGACACAGTGAACGGGACTGCAGCTCCTATCTTTCTAGCACCAATGATCTTCTTTTTTCTTTTTTGGATAAAATAAAAATGCACCTAGATCAATCTTATTTATAAATATTAAAACAAAATTGGAAGTAAATCTTTACCAAGTGGCACAGCCAAAGAAAAGGGTGCACTATCTAACTCATGAGGCTTTGTTAAGAACACAAACAGGTGGCTTAAAATACCAGAACATCCACTAAAGGTACCTTAATCTATCAGGATGTCAAAGGGAAATGTTAGAAAAGGCGTCTGCTAAAATTGAAGAATTTTCATGAAAAAAGAAGCAGCTCACTAAAATAAGATTAAAGGGCAATTTCTGCCATGTGGTAAGATGTAGATCTCTAAATGGGGGAAATTTTCAAGCAGTGCCTGGAAGGGCAACATCAGAACCAGGATGCAGTTCCCTCTTACCAGCAGAGCCGGTGTCCAGAGGAGGGCCAGGCCTGCAGCTCGGACAGGAGAAAGGGAAAATATATTCACCCCACAGCTGGATCTCCAGGGGGGAGAGAGAGAAGCAAGGCAACTGAACCACTACCAGGAACTCTTAGGAAATCCAAAAAGGTAATGGCAGTCTTAGCTGGGGCCTTTCTGGTCCATTTAATTTGCAGTCCCTGTGATGGGGGGAAAACACGGGTCCCTTTTCATATGCTGATTTGCTAATTGAATATCCCCTTTGACGGAGTGTCTGCTCAGGGCTGCGTGCCCCAGAGTGTTAGGCCCGGCCCTGGATTCTGTATTCAGCAGTGAGAAGCCGAACAAAGATGTGCCTTTGGGTGACTGCACTGGGCCTCAGGGCTCAACTCCTCTACACTGAGGCCCCATCAACTCCCACACGCCCTCCCCAACCCCCCAATTTCCTCCACCACCTACTGCCTAAGTGAGGCCTCACCAGTGAAGGGAGGAGCAGGTCCCTTCCCCTTCTCTCAGAACAGGACAGGTACCTCGCAACAAGTAGAGAGAAGGTGTGAGTACAAAGGGCCCAGGGCTCTTCATAGTACCGCACAAATCGATGAGCAATGGGAGGACCGTGACAGTGACAGTTTGTTTAATACATTTTCACTTCATTATTTTTTTGTGCTGCTGGCGAAAGAAGTCAGCCTCACTGAGGCAAAGCATGAGCTTTAATATATGTATATATATATATATATATATATATATATAGCTTTTTGGGTCACACCCTGCGATGCTCAGGGGTTACAGATGGCTCATGCACTCAGGAATTGCTCCTGGCAGTGCTTGGGGGACCATATGGGATGCTGGGAATCGAACCTGTGTTGGCCATGTTGGCTGCGTGCAAGGCAAACGCCCTACCCGCTGTGCTATCGCTCCAGCCCAATTAATTTATATTTTTAAAGGCCTGAACTTTACCACTGAGGTAACACCCCTGGCCAAGTTTTGCGTATTTTTCACGAAATGATGTATTATATGTCTTTCTGCAATTTGACGTTTTCATCCAACTTTCTGTTTGTTTTTAGGCCACACCTGGCAATGCTCAGGGGTTACTTCTGGCTCTGCACTCAGGAACTTTCCTGGCAGTGCTCAGAGGAACATAGGGGATGCCCGGGATCAAGCAGGGACCAGCCGCACACAAGGTAAGTGCTTTCCCTGTGGTACTATCACTTTGGCCCCTGTGTTACAGCTTTTAATCCAGTCTGATAATCTTTTCTTTCAAGTGAACCATTTGGTTCAATCGAGGATATAATTACAGATATATTTTGACCTATTTTTTTTTCTTTTTTGGGTCACACCCGGCGAGGCACAGGGGTTACTCCTGGCTCTGCACTCAAGAATTACTCCTGGCGGTGCTCAGGGGACCATATGGGATGCTGGGAATTGAACCCGGGTTGGCCGTGTGCAAGGCAAACGCCCTACCCGCTGTGCTCTCTCTCCAGCCCCTATTTTGACCTATTCTTATCAACTCATCGCATTCCCCAGTCCCTCTCTCTTTCAGCCATACCCAGCAGTGCTCAGGGCTTCCTCCTGGCTCTGGCCTCAGGAATCACTTCTGATGGGCTTGGGGGGGACCATCTGGGATGCCAGGGATGGAAGCCGGGTCAGCCACGTGGGGTCCTATGGCTCCAACTGTGCTCCCTCTCTTTTCTTTTCTCTATTCTTCACTTTTCTCTCCTTCCTTCCCTCCCGTCCTCCCGGTAATGCACAAGGGTTACTTCTGGGATGCTGGGTATCGAACCTGGGTCAGCCACGTGCAAGGCAAATGCCCTATCGCTCCAGCCCCACTTCCCCTTCTTTAAGTAAAACAAATGAAACAAATGATCTTTGCTTCTTTTGGGGGCCACTCCCGGCTGTTGCCTGGTGGGTCACCTGTGGCGCCAGGCTCGGCCACCTGCAGCCCTGACTGGACTACCTCTGGGTGCCTCCGCACATTCTTAATAAGAAGGAAAATGAGAAGGACGAAGACCAGGCCGGTAAGTTCCATCTCCGTGTGTAAGTGGGGGCGAGCGGCGAAGCTTGCGTGGCCACACACAGGCTTTGCGTGTTTCCTCCTGGGCTATGGCCAGCAACGTTGCGCAGGGCGCGGGGAGCCCCTGGCACCTCCCCGTGCCCTCCCAGCGAAGCTGCCTTTGACCATGACCATGCTTAGACACGCGCCAGAACCCAAGGCGTCAGAGAAGGGGACGTGGATCCGTTTACATACAGGGTCAACACGTGAGCTGGATTTATGGCTTCAATGTCTTTAAAAAAAATAAAGGAGGGAGGGGCACAGGAGATAAATATCCCAAACGCTGACCTTTGACGGAGGTTTCCATTTCTGAAACAGGTTCTGACTTTTCTTCTCCATTAGACTCATCAACTTCTGCCACTGTTGTTAACTCTGGCTCACTCTTGTAGAGTCTATAATCTGGACCCTTGAAACAAAGACGTGCGATCGCTGAGATTAAACAGCCACACACTTGCCGGACGTCTCATGCAAGATGCTCAGCCCTAAAGCTGACGTCCCCACATTTTTCTGACCTACCGCCCCGACTTTCTGAAATAAGAGATCACTGTGTCTCGCCTGGGAGATCTATGAGCAAAGACAAGCTGATGCCCAACTGCACCCAGGGCACCCGGTGCCCCTGTCTGGTTCCCTAGGGAAGGAGACACGGGCGGGGGGAAAATGGGTAGAAAACGGAACCTCGCAACCCTCACTCGGCTCTCTTGGGTTCAATGCAATCAACACGTATTTTACAACTTAGAAAAAAAAATAATAGGGGTGATTTCTAAACTAGCGAAACGAAGGTTTTGAAAGTAAAACTAGATGGACGGGGCAGAGAGAGGGCGGCTGGCACTGGCTTCGTATGTGGCCCACCAGTTTCATGCCCTGAACTGCAAACTGTGCCTGGCATGGAGCCCGGAGGAAGTCCTGGGCACCGCTGCTTATGCCCCAAGGACCAAAAAGAAAGAAATGAATACATGAATAAAATCAAGACGAGTCTTCTAGGGATAGATTTGTTTGAAGTTCTTTTTTTTCCTCCAGTATTGTAAGGAACTGAAGTCTGGAACTCACGTGTGCAAGGCACGTGGTTGCTCCCACCTCTGGAGAGATGGTTTCTTCTCTGTGCTCAATGCACTGTACGTTAATTTTCTTTCTTTTTTTTGGGGGGGGGTCACACCCAGAGATGCTCAGGGGTTGCTCCTGGCTCATGCACTCAGGAATTACTCCTGGCAGTGCTTGGGGGACCATATAGGATGCCGGGGATTGAACCTGGGTTGGCTGCGTGCAAGGCAAACACCTACCCACTGTACTGTCACTCCGGCCCCTGTACGTTAATTTTATTCCCAGAGATTCTCTGCCAGTTTCCAAGGGAAATAGCTTGCTGTGGCAATGCCAGAACCTCGAACGCAGACTAACCCACGCCCCAGCCCTCTGATAAATTCCAGCCAATCCTTTTCTTCTCTCTTTGCTTGAATCTAGAGCTAGAATTCTGCACCTAAATTCTGCATCTTAAACGGCATTTTAAAATACGCTCCCTCACACACACACACACAGTTACCACAATTTACTCCCCAAACCAGAATTAGGAAATAGATGACTAAAATTATGAGGCTATTAAAAGAAATGAGAATGGTAAAACCCAAACAGGAAAAAACACAAAGGATACACGTGATCAATAAACCCAAAACAAAGACACAACAACAACAACAAAAAACCCCCAACAATGAAACTGAAACCCAAACCAAACGAAACATTAGATAAATTGGTGACGATACAAAAAGTCTCTGCGGAAAGTGAATGAATTTTCCAACGGAGAGGGGGGCAGGTATGAAGGGTGGTTCCGTGGCTCTCTGGCCACTTACACAGTGAGATCCGTTTCTCGGATATCCTTGCACTTGGTGACTCTTCTTGTCTTCAGGCAGATGCACTGGGCCCCTGCTATAACAGAGCAAGGAGCTGCTATCACTGGGCAGAGGGGGGACAATGGGAGGCTGCTCTGTAAAGTCATAGGACCGAGGAAGTGGAGGACGAGGTGGGACTACTTCCTCTTCCTAAAGATTGTAGAACAGTCACCTTATTTAGACAAGCAGATTGAAGGAAGGATATCTAAATTCTTTGCAATGGCAACTTAAATTCACTTTAATGTCATAAAAGGGATACTGCCAAGTCTCCTCTTAAAAAGCAAAATCAGAGGGTTTTTTTTTTGCTTTCTGCTTTTTGGGTCACACCCAACGATGCTCAGGGGTTACTCCTGGCTCTGCACTCAGGAATCACTCCTGGTGGTGCTTGGGGGACCATATGGGATGCTGGGAATCGAACCCGGGTCGGCCGCGTGTGCAAGGCAAATGCCCTACCCGCTGTGCTATCACTCCAGCCCCAGGTTTTTTTCCCCCCACAAGAGCCAATAATAAGCGGATTTCGAATAAGGATGTATTTAGTTTTTTTTTTCTCTAATGCACAGGTGAGTTTTATACGGAAGCTCAACATTAAACCGGGATGCTCTGTGAAATGTCTTTCATTTTAAAAAGAGAGAAGAACAACAAATCCCACTCCGCTTTCAATTTCTGAAGAGGAAAAAATTTTTTTAAAAAAATTTGCTTTTATACAAAATTTAAGACCGTAGATGCTTTCAATTAGGTTGACAGTATCTCTTTGCAATTGTGATTTCTTTATAGTAAGCAGAATATGCAGCCAACTTATCTACTTAGCACTCTAAAATATAAGAAACAGTAATATCCAAGTTACTTAGAATAGAAAGAGTATGACAGTGTTAAAACTTTAACACAAATAAAAAGCAACGATTCAAAATATTTTGCACTAGGGAAGAAAAAGTCACAGTTGTTAGAAGCACCAGAGAAATTTCAAGATTAAAACAGTGGCTCTTACATATACGTAGAAAGCAGTTTTTTTTTCTTGTTATGAGAATACACAAGTCAATTCTAATTTATGTCTTAATATTCAGGTGAGAATAATTTATAGTTAGAAAAACAATCCAAACTTACCTCCGTTTTGTACTTAACTGTTGAGAAAGGCTTTGGTCCTATCATACCTATCAAAAATATATAAAATGTTGAATATTGAATGCCTGAAACTGTTAGCAATAGCTTGGTAAATCATGATGAGTTAAAAAAAAAAGCAAATAAAATCTTAAGTATTTACAGTATCCTGATACAGCTACAAAAAGGGGGGAGTAATTTCTTTTTGCCCTTGTACTTTTCAAGTTTCTATTCATTCTTTCTGGTGCCAGCTATCAACCGGGGGTCTTAACATAGAAGGCTGAGATTGCTCTGCCCCTCGGCAATTCCCGAGTACTGCACTTACTGTAGCGAAGCCTCCAGTTTCTGATCCCTTCTTTATTAATATGCTTATTGATATTTAATATGTTTGTATTAATATGTCTATTAGTATTTTCAGAATTTGAAGCCAACTGCATTCAAATAGACAAATCAATTGACACAAAGTATGGCTGATCACAAAGGTGACTGGTGGAATCACGATTTAACAGATCGTAATAGATTGTTTTGAGAGTGTGACTTCGTGGTATCTGTCAGCATGGAAAACTTGTGCTGATCTCTCACTTCTTGAAAACCAGTAAGCATGAGTGAGGATAAGAATGTGTGTTTTCAAAAATGTGTAAGTCTGCAACTGTACCTCATGATGTCTCACTATTAAAAATTTTTTTAATAAAAAAATGTGTTTAGTTATATACACAGCGATGTTGTTTATGTTACTTCTAGAATGCATTTTCTCTCTCTCCCTCTACCTCTCTCTCCTCTCTCTCTCTCTCTCACACACACACACACACACACACGTTGATGACAGTTCACCTATAATCACACACACACACACACACGTTGATGACAGTTCACCTATAATCACACACACACATACACACACATACACACACACACACACACACACACACACACACACACACACACACACATACACGTTGATGACAGTTCACCAAGGTGCCACTGATCCATCCTGGGGAAGGCATACTTTCAGTGGGGTGCTGTAACATTAAACACAAAGTAATTCTGTGTGGGGAATGTGTCATGCTGGAGATGGAGCCTCAGATGTCACATGTACAAAGGATGCCTCCACCACTGAGCTACAGGCCCAGCCCCAGAATAGAGCTAATTTTGCTGGGGCACCCCACATGCAACAGGTGCAGTCTACCCACCTACTCCAGATGGAACCCCGGTGTCCAAGAGCTTCCACAAGCAAGGCCCAGGCATGCGGGTACCAGGACCAAGCCTCCAGGCCGCATGGCAGCAGAGGCACCGGGCGCTCGCTCCACAGCCTGGCTGTCATGCCCATGAGCTTCTGCTGGGCGCCATCTTAGCGCACCAACAGAGACTGGTCCTGCGACTCCCAGTTGAATCCCAAAATAGGTTAGAGCCCTACAGAGATGTCTCTGGAACCCAACTACCTACAACCTAGGATCCCACCAGTGTGCGGCCACTTTGCGACATTCAAAACAATCAATGGAAAATAAAATTATCTAGCGTCTGCCCCTGGCAGGCAGGCTTGAATGGTGGTGGGAAAATTTGGGAAAAACATAATGCCCAAAAGTACAGAGTATTGGGGAAATTGTCTGCCATAGAGGCAGGGTGAGGACTGGGATGGGAGGAGAGGGGGGATACTGGGAACATTGGTGTTGGAAAGTGTGTACCGGTAGAAGGATGAGTGTTCGATCATAGTATGGCTGGATCTCAAACATGAAAGCTTTGTAACTGTCCCTCATGGTGATTCAATAAAATAATAGCACTGCGCTGTCCTCCTGTTGTTCACAGATTTGCTTGAGCGGGCACCAGTAACTTCTCACAACAAATTGTGAGACTTGCTGTTACTGTTTTTGGCATATCGAATACATCATGGGGAGCTTGCCAGACTTTTCCATGTGGGCAAGATACTCTCGGTAGCTTGCCAGGCTCTCTGAGAGGGGCGGAGGAATCGAACCCGGGTAGGTCGCATGCAAGGCAAACACCTTACCCGCCGTGCTATTGCTCCAGCCCCAATAAAATAATAATAATAAATGATGATAATCATATAAAATAAAGAAGAGTGTCAATCTGTTAACACACACAGACACAGAAACCTATGAAAACAAAATCAACAGCAACAAAAAAAAGCCCAGTTCCGCGTCTCTTCATGTCAATACACTCCTGAGTCCACGGCCGTGAGTAAGCAAAGCCCGTTCACCTATTTCCGCGATCCCTCGCTGCTGCTTGTGTTTACTGAGGCCTTCCACGACGTCTTCGATTCTCCAGAGCTCCTTCTGGATCTGAGCGCGCTGAATCCCCGCCGACTCGGTCTGCCGGTGGAAAGCCGCAGAGGTTAATACAGGATCGATGTCCCTACGGTTAGCTAGATGTTAGGAAATGAGGATTAGAGTAGAGTTAAGTTTCGAGAAGACCATTATGACCGTCCTGGCTCCCCATCTTGTGATTTTAGCGGACAGGAAGAAAGACAGAGCTGGGAGCAGTAACGGGGAGGGAGATTCTTTCTCAGCTGCGTGTGCCATTCTCGCACATCTCAGCAAGCCTCTTGCTTTACTTACGATCTGGGGAATCCCCAGCGATGCACAGGGATTACTCCTGGTTCATGCACTCAGGAATTACTCCTGGCCGTGCTTGGGGATCATATGGGAGGCTGAGAATCGAACCCGGGTCGGGCCGCATGCAAGGCCAATGCTCTACCTGCTGTGCTATTACTCCAGCCCCGGGGTTTGCCAGTTTGAATCCTGGGCACCACATGTGGTCCCCTAAGCACTGCCAGGAATGATCACTGGGCACAGGCTAGGACCCGCGCACCTTTGGGTCCGGCCCAAAGACCCAAACAAACAAAAATCAGACACTCACACAGCAATAAAATAATAATGATGATGATAATAATAATAATGATATAAAATAAAGAAGAGCGTCAGTTTGTTAACATACACACAAAAACCTACGAAAACAAAAACAACAGCAACAAAGAAGCCCAGTTCCATGTCTCTTCATGTCAATACACTCCTGAGTCCACGGCCGCGAGTGGACTCCACACCCGGTGGATGCTCGGGGGTTACTCCTGGTTCTGTGCTCAGGAATTACTCCTGGTGGTGCTTAGGGGACCATAAAGGATGCCAGGGATCAAACCTGGTCAGCTGCATGTCTTTAATTGTACAGCGTATAATCTAAGAACGGGCTTTTGTTTTTGAAAACATTTTTAGGGGTTAGTTGAAAACAGCAACAAAAATCCCAAACATGAACATTATGTGGTGAAGAGTCCATACCTGGAATTAATATTAAGTAGTTAATATCTGGTGTCTCACACAAAGTTTATTGAGCCCTGGGTTCTAGCTTAGATATTTATCATTTTATTTTTGTTTATTCATTTTGCTTTTTGGTCACACCTGGCAATGCACAGTGGTTAGTTATTCCTGGCTGTGCACTCAGGAATTATTCCTGGTGGTGCTCGGGGGACCCTATGGGATGCTGGGAATCAAACCCAGGTTGGCCAGGTGCAAGACAAATGCCCTACCTGCTGTACTATCTCTCCAGCCCTGATATTTGTGCTGGAGCGATAGCACAGCGGGTAGGGCGTTCGCCTTACAAGCGGCCAACATGGCCGACCCGAGTTCGATTCCTCCGCCCCTCTCGGAGAGCCCGGCAAGCTACCGAGAGTATTCGATATGCCAGACACAGTAACAACAAAGTCTCCAATGGAGACGTTACTGGGCCCGCTCGAGCAAATCGACGATCAACGGGAGGGCCTTTACCTTTACCTTTACCTTTATCCTCGATTGCATTTCTCATTTTATCAGCATAATTTATGTCTAAAAAAATACAAAATTTGTATTTCTTTAAATATTTTGGTTTACAAGTCACACCTGGTTGTGCTCAGGTTGGGCTGACTCTTAGCTCTGTGCTCAGAAACCACTCCCAGAGGGCTTGGGGTACCCTGTGCGGTGCTGGGGACCAAATCTGGGTCAGCTCTGTGCAAGGCAAGCGCCCTGGCAGCTGGACCATCTCTCAGACCCCCAGAATTTGTGAGGCTAAATGAAGACAAGTAAATGAAATTCTCTCTCTCTCTCTGCCTTTTCGGTCACACCCTGCTATGCTCAGAGCTTACTTTTGACTCTGGATTCAGGAATTACTTCTGGCAGTGCTGAGGGACCATATGAGATGCCAGGGACCAAACACCGATTGGCTGCATGCAAGGCCAACGCCCTACCTGCTGTGCTATCGCTCTGGGCCTGTAAATGAACACTCTAGCCCTGGCTGCAACTGAAGCCCATCACACGTCCAGCCACTGTGTGGCTCATGGCGCAGACAGACACCCGCTGGATGCTATAGTCCCTCTGAGACCCTTTGGTCGGCTCTGCTAGCCTGGTCGTTGAGTCCCCGAGGCTTCCAGCTACAGGAGGGGCTGGAAATATTTAAAGCACATAGTGGCACCCATGATCCCCTTCAGCGCTGCAGTATCCATGATCCCCTTCAACACCGCAACTGAGGTACTCGGGTTTCTCTAGGCAGTGCTCTGAGACAGGCATCAGGACTATTTTGCAGGTGAGGAACCCACCACATGGGCCTGAGACAGGTGTGTTTACGTGAACTGGCTTTGTTATGCCAAACCGGGGGGGGGGGGGGGGGGCTGCTGCTTTCTACTCTACCGTCAAGATAACAGGCAAAGGAAGAGTTGGATTAAAAAAAAAAGCATTAATTTAATATAGCATGGATTAGAATAAACTTTAAAATAGAGATAAAATGTCCATTATTTGATAAGGCCCTAATCCATGTAATTCAAACCTGCATACCAAGTGAAACGGGAGAGACCAGACAAGATCCCGGGCTCCCACCGGGTGCCCACCCCGACGACCTTCGCCCACAAGGAGCCTTGGGTCCATTTGAGCTGGCGTGTTTAATGGGGGTGGGTTGGGGCCTTGGGGCGCCCGTGCCTCTGTACCTGGACTTCACCGAGACGGTCGAGCTGCTCCTGCATCTGGTTCCGGGTCACGGTCACGTCGTACTCCAACTTATCGTACTCTCGCCAAGCTCGCTCCAGCTCCTACAGTCAAAAGAACCTGCATCACTTTTTTTCAAATTTATTTTTCATTATTAAAAACAATTTTTTTTGCTTTAATCACCTTTAATGGAAAAAAATGGGCATTTAGGTTTTGAACCACTGAAATCATCAGCATCTCTCTAGATGTTTAGAAGATCACACACTTTATTTTATTTTTTGTGAAAAAAAAAAAAAAGATGATTTTGAACTCCTTTTTAGCACTTAGCACTGGTTGCTTCTCCACCCTGATTCAAATTTCTCCAGAAGGGAAAACACAAAACATGTTGCTTTCGTCCTCAACAGCCGGATCTGACTTTTTTTTTTTTTTTGGCTTTTTGGGTCATACCGGCGATGCACAGGGGTTACTCCTGGCTCTTGCACTCAGGAATTACCCCTGTTGGTGCTCGGGGGATCATATGGGATGCTGGGAATCGAACCCAGGTTGGCCACGTGCAAGGCAAATGCCCTACCTGCTGTGCTATCACTCCAGCCCCAGCCGGATCGGACTTGACTTAGAATAAATTTATAGTACTGGAACAAAGCTAATTCAGCTAATAAACAAGTAAATGGACCTTACTCATCGTTCTGATGATAGATAAGACCCACCTACGCCCTTCCCTTCTGGGGGAGAAAGAAGACCGCCTAACCTCTCAAATCACAGAGACTGTAATATTCTATATTCTTCCCTTCTACTTGTCACCGGCTGCATCCAGAATGAGTCCGCAGCAGCTCACCGACCCACCTCCTACCCTCTATTTCAGGGGTGCAAGTGATCGCTGAGGTGCCTTCTCCAGGCTGGCGGTACACCTGAGAAATTTCGGAGTGCCAAGATGCCACGCACTGAGGAACTACAGGTGGGGAACGTATCTGCTCACTATTGTTTCTCTCTCTCTCTCTCTCTCTCTCTTTTTTTTTTTTTTGGTATGAGGTGGGTACACTCGCTGTGCTCAGAGTGACTCCAGGCTCCGCGTTCTCGGGTCACAACTGGTGAGGTATCGGAGGCCATATGCGGTGCCAGGGATCACATCTGGGTTGACCGTGTGCACAGCAGATGCCCTGCCTGCTCTGCTACAGTGCGGGTCCCATCGGTTTTATCCCAGTACCTCTAGGGAAAAGACAACACATTGCCATCATTTCTTCTTTTTTTTTTAATTTGTTTTTTGGGTCACACCCACCAATGCTCAGGGGTTACTCCGAGCTCTGTGCTCAGAATTACTCCTGGTGGTGTTCCAGGGACCAAAGGGGAAGCTGGGGATCGAATCAGGGTCGGCTGCATGCAAGGCAAAATGCTCTACCCACTGTACTATTATTGCTCTGGCCCCATCCATCATTTGTTTGGTACTCACTTCCCTTTATTTTTTTTTAGATAATAAATTTCAGTCTTATTATTTATTTTAAAAATTTCTTTTTTCATAAAGTTGTTCACAATAATTAAGTTCAAGATTTCAACACCAATCCCACCCCCATTACACCTTCCCACCACCATTAGTTTGAATTTTCCCACCACCACTCAAGCCTGCTCCTAGGCAGACGACAGATAATTTATTTTGTATTGCTTGTTATGAATGGCATGAAATGTCGCATGGCCGAGAAACTTTTCTTTCTTTTTGGGTCACATCTGGCGATGCACAGGGGTTACTCCTGGCTCTGCACTCAGGAATTACTCCTGGTGATGCTCAGGGGACCATATGGGATGCTGGGAATCGAAGCCGGGTGTGGATGGTATGAGCAAAGTGTGAGACAGTGAAACTTCTTGAACCCGTCACACGCTTTGCTCATACCATCCACACCATCCATGGGATTATTTTAAAGCAACTCATCACACTCAGCTCCTGGGAGAGAACAAGGCAGAGTCTCCTACCCTATGCCTGACTGTCTCCACCAGGGCCCAACAGCTGAAGACCACCGAGGCCCAGCCAAGGCTATGCTGAGACCACTCTCCACACACTTGGATGAGCCTCACGCATAAAAGAACTGACAGAGGAACCCAGGTGTGTGGGACCCGGGGCTGAGATCTCCAAGCCTGCACAGTTTGGGACTGGACCTGCCAGTAACTAGACAGTTACACCCACCAACTGCCGTGTAACTCCAACAACGGCCAGGATCCAGAGATCATCACACTCAGCTCCTGGGAGAGAACAAGACAGAGTCTCCTACCCTATGCCTGACTGTCTCCACCAGGGCCCAACAGCTGAAGACCACCGAGGCCCAGCCAAGGTCATGCTGGGAGCACTCTCCACACACTTGGATGAGCCTCACGCATAAAAGAACTGACAGAGGAACCCAGGTGTGTGGGACCCGGGGCTGAGATCTCCAAGCCTGCACAGTTTGGGACTGGACCTGCCAGTAGCTAGACAGTTACACCCACCAACTGCCGTGTAACTCCAACAACGGCCAGGATCCAGAGATCATCACACTCAGCTCCTGGGAGAGAACAAGGCAGAGTCTCCCACCCTATGCCTGACTGTCTCCACCGCACGACATCTTATCATCTCATTCCTAATTTGGTCAAACTGGCAGGCTACCAAATATAACATGCCCACACGGCAGAGTCTGGCAAACTCCCCGTGGCGTATCCAATATGCCATATACCAGTAACAATGATGGGTCTCATTCTCCTAACCCTGAAAAAGCCTTGAATATGGCACTTTAAAAAAAAAAAATCTCAGGGCTAGGACGAAGAAGACGTTACTGGCACCTGCTCGAGGCAATCGACGAACAACAGGGTGGTCGTGATCGTGATCGTGAACTCATTAGCACCGTTCTACAGCAGACCCGAGAGCCAAGAAACTTGACTGGCCGAGGCTGTGGGTGTGCTGGCCCCGGGCCCTCCTCAGCTGGAGGCTTGTGCCCTGGAGGGCCCCTTACTGCCCCTTCCCCGAGGCAAAGCCGGTCCAAAATGATCTGGTTTCTTTTTTTTTTTTTTTAAATTATTTTCCTTTTTGGGTCACATTTTTTGGCCTTGCACTTAGGATTTACTCCTGGCAGTGCTTGGGGGAACCATCTGGGATGCTGGGAATCGAACCCGGGTCGGCTGTGTGCAAGGCAAACGCCCTACCTGCTGTGCTATGGCTCCACCCCCATGGGTGATCCAGTTTCTTTGTGTATCAGGAAGATTCATCCCGGAGGGGGAGAGAGCCGCACGCGTAGGGGCCCATAGACTGAGCATCCCGGGAGAGGGGCCAGGCCACTGGCCAGCACCCTTAGACCCCTGCATCGAACCCTAGACTCGAGTTGGGAGGAACCTTCTGAGCACTGTTTGGGGAACACTCCCCCAACCCTCCCTCAGATACACGTAGACCTAACTTTTCAGGGCTACGCTTATAAGGCCCCAATCTGAACTTCCTGGCGCTGTAACACTGGGCCACAGTTTAAGCCTTCACCCCATTTTAGGTGTCCATCTACTGTGCAGGAGGCTGAAGCGATGGAAGCCAATGAAGGGGGCATTGGCTAGAGAGACAGCACAGCAGGGCAGGTGCTTGGCCCACTGGTGCTCGACCCCCGGCAGCCCGCTGGGTCCTCTCAGCACCACCAAGAGTGATCCCTGAGCATAGCCTGTATTGCCCCCAAACTGACCAAACAGCAACAAAGAACAAGGCTGTTACACCCCATCCCTCCCCCTGGCTTTTTGGGTGGCACTTGGCAATGCTCAGGGGTTCTCCTGGCTCTGCACTCAGGAATCACTCCTGGCGGTGCTCAGGGGACCCTAGGGGATGCCGGGGATCGAACCCGGGCCGGCCGTGTGCAAGGCAAACGCCCTCCCTGCTGTGCTATTGCTCCAGCCCAACAAGGCTGGTTCTCACCATTTTAAAGATACTCATTTTTTTCCCCCCTCTGGTGTCAGAGGTTGGGTCACTCCTGGCGGTGTTCTGGGGCTACTCCCCGCTCTGTGGGGGTGGGGGGGTGCTGTTATGGGACCTCGCAGTGTCGGCAACTGAACCTGGGCTCGCGCATGCCCAACACGCTCTGGCCCCTTCAGTTTTCTTCAGCCATAAGGATACTCCATTGTGAGACCTGTTGTTACTGTGTTTGGCATATTGAATACTCTCGGTAGCTTGCCAGGCTCTCCGAGAGGGGCGGAGGAATCGAACCCGGCTCGGCCGGGCTGGCTGCACACAAGGCAAACGCCTTACCGCTGTGCTATCGCTCCAGCCGCACGTCACAGTATGCTTAAGAAATTCATAGGAGATTATGGAAATAACACGATTTCAAAAATGGAATGCATTTAAAATGTCAGGCAAAAACTAAGTTTTTATTTAATCTTTAAAAACACCATGTTAGTGTCCTTTAAAAATAGTCTCTGTTCGGCTGGGGGTGGAATGAGCTGAGAGCGGTGAAGCGTTCTTGGCATGAAGCAGTCCCCGATTCAACCCCGACACGGCACGGTCCCCATCAGGGGAGTGGGGGAGAGAGGAGCCCCCCCGCCCTGACCACCAGCTCCAACACCAAACCAGGACGGGCCCGAGCACTGCTGGGTGTGGCCCCCACGCCCCGCAGGCAGATGCTCGTGGTCAGCGTGTCCCCGGGGCCCTTGGACTCAAAGGCCACTCACGGTACAGAGACGATGGCCTGTGGGCCTTGAGCTCAACGCCCACTGGACAGTGGTCAGGAGGGGTGGCAGCTTTTGCAGGAGAGTTCTGAGGGCTGCTCAAACAGCTGTTTGTTTGTTTGTTTACTGATTTACTTATTCTCTGGTGTTGGACCATACCCAGTGGTGCTTCTCAGGACTTACTCCTGGCTCTGTGCTCAGGGGACCATCTGGGTGGGTTGTGGGCCAGGCAAGCGCCTCCCCACTGTCCTATCACTGGCTGGGCAGCGGGTCTTACCACGCAGGGACGTGGCCGAATCTGGGTGTCAAGGTGGGTGCCGGGACCCACAGCAGTCAGTGTACGCATTCTTTTTTTCTTTTTTTGTGAGGTTACACCCGGCAATACACAGGGGTTCCTGGCTCTGCACTCAGGAATTACTCCTGGAGGTGCTCGGGGGACCATATGGGAGGCTGGGAATCGAACCCGGGTTGGCCGCGTGCAAGGCAAACGCCCTATCTGCTGTGCTATCGCTCCAGCCCCAGTGTATGAATTCTAAGTAGACGTTCAGATTTGCTGATTCCATAGTGGCATGGCTAAGTGCTGCCGGGGTCTGCTAATGCTTTTTTTTTTTTTATTACTCAAAAATATCACTTAAACTAGATGACACAGAAGCTAAGAAGGAACCATGCTGATGCGGCCTTAAAATCATTCCAAGGTGCCTTTTAATTCAAATAGCTCCATGCCTTCAATACTCCTTTCCCATCATTTGTCTTGCCCTGAAAATCCACATATTTCCTCAATGTAACCAATTTAAACATACTCAAGATTTTTTTTTTTTGCCACTTATACATTACAATAATTAAAAATGCTTTGCTTCTTAGGAAATAACCATTTCACAAAGAAAAGTCTGACTAACTAGAAACGTAAAAAAAAATTCTTTTCCTTTTGGCTTTTTGATCACACCCAGCGATGCTCAGAGGTTACACCTGACTCTGCAGTCAGGAATTACTCCTGATGGTGCTCAGGGGACCAAACGGGATGCTGGGGATTGAACCGTGTTGGCCACATGCAAGGCAAATGCCCTCCCTGCTGTACTAATCTAACTCTCTGGCCCCGAAGCATTCTTTATTTTGCTGTTATTTATTCTGCTGTAGTAAAGAACAATTCCAGAATCGGTCCAATGAAAGAGAAACGCAAGTAAAATATAACATTTCAAGGACATTTAGAATAAATCAAGTTTCATGAACACTAACTGGCTGGAAAAAAAAACAAAAACAAAAACGCCAAAAACCACTTACTGCAGTGGCCCGAGAAAGTTCTCGACATGTGCTAAGCAGTCCGTTTTGCAAGTCGTCCCTCTGCAGGACCACGGTCTGGATGGCTGACGGGTTGTCTGCATTCATTTCTATCTCCTGGCTGGCTGAGAGCAAGGCTTGCTCAAGCGTGTACTATGGCAGTGGGGGGAAAAATTACCGTTAATGTTCTGCATCATTGAATTAATTATTTCACACTTTAGTCATCAGTGTCTCGGTAATAATCGTATCAAGTCAGTTCGGAGAATAAACATGATGGTCCTACTTTCTCCTTGTGGAGTTGCTGAAGCTTCTCTTCCAGAGCACGGACCACTTTATCCTGTTCGCACAACCGGCTCAGCTTGGCCTACGTGAGCGAGAGGAAGACAGACAGCTTTGGTGAGCCACTTGAAGGTCGCCTGCGAAGGGACAGGTCAAAGAAGAAAGCGCAGCCACACAGGACGTACGGGCTAGGAGACAGGTCGATGGGGTGGGCACCTACGAAGCTCAGGGGACTCTCGTGTCTGTCCCCCGGCACTGCTGTGACGTCAAAGGACCATGGGGGGGGGGGGCGCCTCCTCCAGCACAGAGTAAGGCGTGGCCCCCAGAACGAATGGGCGAGGCCCTTGAGCAAACAGAACAGCAAAGCCCCATGGTAATGCAACACCGAGTTAGGTCAACCTTTCTCTGATTCTCCCTCTTTATTTTCAGCAGTGAAACCCAAGCACAAAAATCTGTAAATCTACAACTGTACCTCATGGTGTTTCACTAACAAAAATTGTCACTGTCCTCCCATTGTTCATCGATTTGCTCGAGTGGGCCCAGTAACGTCTCCATCATGAGACTTGTTGTTACTGTGTTTGGCATATCGAATACGTCACGGGCAGCTTGCCAGGTCTGCGGTGTGGGCGAGATACTCTCGGTAGCTTGCTGGGCTCTCCGAGAGGGGCGGAGGAATCGAACTCGGGTTGGCCATGTTGGCTGCATGTAAGGCAAATGCCCTACCTGCTGTGCTATCGCTCCAGCCCAACAAAAATTAAAAAAAAAAAAAAAGTAAATGATGGAGAATGGGCCCTGGTGGAGGGATGGGTACTTGATCATTGTATAACTGAAACCCAAGCACAAAAAATTGTAAGTCTACAACTGTACCTCATGGTGTTTCACTAATAAAAATTAAAAAAAAAAAAGACAGCACAGATGAAGTCAAGTGCATTTTAAGCATATTATTTAACCTACATTACTAAAAAAAAAAAAAATTTTTTTTTTGCCATACTTGGTGGTGCTTAGAGCTTACCCCTAGCAGGGCTCGGGGAACCCTCTGGGATATTGGAGACTCACCCCAAATCAGCTGTGTGCGAGGCAATTGCCCTATCACTGTACTATCACTGCATCAAACATATTCCTAGGAAGCAATCAGTGTCACATGCTGGAGTGATAGTGTGGTGTGTTGGGGGAGGGCCTTTGCCTTGCACATGTCTGGCCCGGGTTCGATTCCCAGCACCTCACAAGGCCCATACGGTCCCCGGAGCTTTCCGAGGAGTGATCCCTGAGCTCTCGAGCCAGGAATACTGCTGGGTGTGACACCCCCCCCCCCCAAACAAAACCAAATTGTTAAAATTTTTTCAGAGTTTTGCCCCTATAATCTCCTAGATAAAGCCACAAGTAGCCACTTATGCCAATGATGGGATTTGGGGGCTCTTTTTAACATGCTGCTCTTGGGCTGGGGGCACGTGTGCAGGCTGGTGTGTATACCTGGTCCCAGGAAGCTGTGGCCCACCTGGTACCGCCCAGTTCCAAGCACCCGCATCTGTTAAGCTGGCAGGGCGGTGCCAGCGAGGTCAAGGGCACCTGGCAGAACCTCCCCTCAGAGACACACGCACAGGCTCAAGAGTTAGGAGAAAAGCGTGTGTCTGCCAGGGCTGGAGTGACCTCCCCAAAAAAGAAAAAAAGGTGCTTATGTTCTCAGAAAACATAAACAGAAGATAACTTCCCAATGCAATAATACAAATTTAAATATGGCTAATGAATAAAAATCACTTTCAAGAGTGAGAAAGTTTTCAATTCCTGGTTCCGCCTTGGATCCTTCCTTTGACTTTAGAACTGATTCATCATTGGTTTACAATGCTGTAAATTTCGGGGGGCCGAGTTTCACAGCTGAGGACACAAGACTCACCCTACACCCCACAGCCAAGGCTGCCCGCCAACGCACGATCAAAAAACATACAAAACCAAAAGACCCCCAAATCCCTCGACCTATTTCTCCTACTCAATCCTCTATTTTCCATTTTGAAAACACAAAAGGGTACTCAAAATGTAATCCTCGAATACTACTAGTATAAACTAAGGTGCCTGAAAAAAAAAAAAAGCTCTGACAAAATATAAATAAGTCCCAAATTTTACCGCAAGTGACAAGAAAGAAATGTGAGATTTTGCTTCCTCTGCCATGTATCTATTAAAAGAATTGCCTAATTTGCTGGAAAACGAACCTTACGCAGCACCAAATGAAGTCTGTTGAAATGAAGATGAACAACTCAGTAGGATAAAACCAAGGGAAAATAAAAAAAATATGTAAAAATAAGAAAGAATGCATAGCAAGTACACTATGAAATATATGAAAGGGGAATTTAATTCTTTGTTTTTTTGGCTACACCCAGTGGTGCACAGGGCTTACTGCCAGCTCTGCACTCAGGGATCACTCCTGGCAGTGCTTGGGGGTCATATAGGATGCCGGGGATTGAACCTGGGTCGACAACATGCAAGGCAAACACCCCCCCATCCCCCATACTGTCTTCTCACCACTCAATTTAGCTTTTAAAAGGACATTAAAAAGACACATTAATGGAACTTAGTCTAAAGTCAATAACTTTCTCTAGAAAATAAAGACAATTTTACTTTGTCTCTGCTGCACCGTAATTTTTTTCTTTAAGTGACTCCTTTTTTTTTTTAATGCGAAGGGTCAAGGATTAAACCCTGGGCCTCATTTATTGTTCAGCCAAATCCCTGGCCCCTAAGTGACTCTTAAATCTGCTAGTTATGGGGGAAGAAAGAGAGGAGATTGGGAGCGATAAGACTTAATTGATCCTAAGTACAAAAGAAGTTTCTGTTAAACTCCTGTGAATACTTGGGCAAAGCAGACACAGAGAATTGACAATTCACCCTGTATTAATACTTACATCAATATCTATTTCCTCGGGTCTGTATTTGTACAGTGTGCCTCTACATTCATCTTGCGACAGCTACAAAGAAAAATGTCACAGAGCAACTTTAAGAGAACATTAACATACCTTTATTTAGCCTATAACTGAGAGTTCAGATTTACACAACAACGACAAACATGGATTTTTTTTTTAATGACTATAATACTCTGAGGAGTTTAATTCGAACACAGAACAAAAGCAGAAAAATATTGAACAGGGATACATTATGCAAGATACATTAAAAACCATGCTAACTTAAGCTTGTGAAACAAAATATTAAGCCGGTCCAATAAAATTATACAGCAGCCTTGCATTTTTCATTTGTAAGACACACATTGCTTCAATGAAAAAAAAAAATCGACAGATACAACCATCGTCCGTGTACTCAAATATTTGAAACCAGGCATACCTCAACAATCAGAACTGCTCGAGATGGCATTCACATACTCATACAGCTGTGTACGTTAAACTCCAATGCCAACACATCTCAGTACAATTTTATTAACAAAGCCTGTAACATGTTGTATACATATATGTAGTATATAAACACACATACACAATATAGACTTATCTTGTTCTTCTGTCTTAAGAACTAAAAGATAATGAAGGAAAAGTATGGGTTTAATTGAGGTTTAATCATCAATTTTGTGAGGACTGCACAAAAGTGAACGCTGATTATAGAAACGGCCTCATCAAAACGGTAGCGTGTCTGTACTCTCACAGCGTTTACTGTAGTATTAGGAAGTATCATCCAATGAATTTGAAACATTTTCTGTTCAGCTTCTTCCCAATTTCTTTTGGTCGGAACAATCCTCATTTCTGACTATGCTTACCAAGATTCCAATAGCCATCCCAGTCAGAAGAGAACATTTCAGAAACTCTCCTCTGTCTGACCTTACACTGTCTTTAATTTGGGCTCACTGCATGCATTAAACAGCACGCTTGCACGCAAAGTAGAGATGGCAATAATGTATCTCAACTATATTCCACATTGGAAAATGGACCATCACTTATGTATACACAAATGCATAAAAATGCACGTTGCAGCCCCATATATGCCTTCTCTGTAAAAACCAACTTGAGAGATGAATCTTTTGAAAGAGGCATAACTGAAACAATTCATAATTTTGAACAAAGCTAGATAAGCAGGAATCGGGAGAATAAAAGTAAGCATTCCAAACATACGATAATAAATCCTGGATTTACGTGGCTCGTTTCAAGACATTACTTCACGTACCTCATGCAAATGAATCTGGGACTACTTAAGGGTATGCACAGTGATAATTTTCATAGAAATGATTATTACATGAAAAATGAATTTTGTGACAAAAGAATTATTTGTGCACTGATTTAAGACTGCTGAATATTGTCCCAAGAAGCACCAATTGTTATTCTAAATTAATGCTCCTAGAAGCAAGAATATACCTATCTTTAAAAAAAAAGCTAAATTTTTAAATGCTTAGACCCATGATAAAAAAATTAAGACTTTTTTTATCCAAGATAAAAAAAATGCCAAAATGATTAATTTAAGAATAGAAAGACTTCAGGGGCAAAATGTTGAAATATATTTTGCATGGTAATATTTAAAGTTAAATGGAAAACAGCTTTACTAAAAGAATAATTGGAAACTGACAAGAGTGTACATCTAAAGAGTTATGGTTTGTATCCTAAATTCCTCCACCAGAAGACTAGTATCATAAAATAAAATAGCAATCTACAATGACTATTAGGATACTGGTAAAATTCATTTATTGAGCAAATCCTAGAGATGTTAATTTTTATATCAGTAGGTATATCACAAAGTGGCATGTACTAAATAGTTATAATTTTAGAGAGATATCCATCTATAGATTTAGATATAAACTAGCTTTATTTTTGTGGTATCTGTATATTTTTGTTACCACTAAAATATATTTTAAGCTTTGATTATTATTCAAAAAAGAAATCATTGGACACCAACTAAAATCTTAATCATTTGCTCTTATACAATGACTACTTTTACCAGCCAGAAGAAAACACGCTGTGACTTTTCCCCCCAGGTCAGAAAACACATTGTAACTTTTGCCCCAGGTGGGTGCTAGCAGGTTCTCTAGCCCTTGGAACTAGTTCCTGGGTCACGCGTGGAGATGCACCGGGGCACGCACCTTCTAGCCTGGTGCTGGGTGCTATTCCCCAGGGATGCTGGGGACCACGCAGTGCCAGGACTCTCACATGGAGTCCTGAGTGCATCCTTTGGACCATCTATCTCCCTATATCTGTAAATAGTTCTTTTTATTTTCTTCCCCTGGGCCACACCCGGTGATGCTCAGGGCTTCCTCCTGGCTCTACACTCAGGAATCACTCGTGGCAGTGCTTGGAAGACCATCTGGGATGCCAGGGATCAAACCTGGGTCAGTGGTGTACAAGGCAGATAGATGCCCTACCTGCCGCACTATCACTCTGGCCCACAAAACTGTACATAGCTCTTGAAATGAAAATTCTACTGGGAAAAGTTTAAAATTCAACTTTATATACACAACCCCCAAACTGGATTTTCCAGGAAAATATATGGTAAAATGAGACGTTATATGTTAGGATTTAAAACTGCTGATAAGGCTCAGAGGTATTGGTTAATATTAATCTGCATCTTTTAAGGCAGTTATTTGTCAGGTGATTAATTTCCCTGATATTAACTATGCTATAAAAAAACTTCAACCAAAATGTAATTGTGAAAGGTCTTAGAATGACTGTTCAATGGAGACCAATCTTTCCGTGCGATGCGAGCCTATTTTCTTAGCATTTGTTTTCATTCCGTTTTCAGTCCTTTCAAAATACTGACTGCAGAAAATTACCGCCCTGGGGTAATTTCTCAGAGCTTCTGTTTCTAAATATAAAGTACAAAGTTCTTCCTGAGAGGAAACCTGAAAGGCTGTAATTCAGAATAACAGGTTATAAAACACTATCCTGCTACTATATATTCAGCCGTACTCCAGGAATCTACTAACACAACATTATAACTAATGTCAAAAAAAAGCAAGCCTGGAATAGCAGCACGCAGGACAAACTTTCATCAAGATTCTCTGGGGAGTGACAGAAGAAAAACAGAGGTGGGGAGATCTGAGTTCGATTTATGTAAATAGAGTGTTCAGGAAATGTGTCTGATTGACACTTTTATCCATCAATGATGCTCCAGTGATAATTACTAGTGGCTTATTAGACAAAAAAAAACCTGTCCAATCATGCTCCAGATAGGTGGGTTTCGACCCCCAGGCTTTCACGTCCAGGAGCCGAGACTAGTGTGGGATGTTAGTCTATGTTGGACCACGTGGGGATGGGGACAAAATGGATCCTTCCCCACCTACTACTGCTCTGACACCTCAACAAGGAGATCTTTACAGAAATCTGTAGCTCTCGTGAGCATTCAAGACCGGGAGTGCTGTGCACCGCCCGTCTCTGGGACCTCCGCTTTTAAGAAACTCCAAGTAGAGCGTTCAGTCCCACTAACTTCGGTCAGCAACGACATTTCTGCATGGGCTGCCCTGATACCTGATGAATATAAAGAGGGAGAAACCAAACCAAACTGAAAACCCAGGCTATTGCCACAACTGAAACGCACTTGAAAAGTGAAAACAATCACCACAAAACTGCCCTTTAAAAATCTCTTATTGGGTTAGCCCTGCAGAAAAGGACCAAAGTGTTGGCTTCAAAGTCTGAAAAAGGGGAGGAAATCCAGAAGGAGTGCTAGGGTTCTCAGTGTGGTGTTGGGGTGTGCACGCCAGGTTCCAAATATTGGGGACTTTCAGAAGGGAAGGGCCTTAAAATTTTTTTTTTTTTGGTAGCAGCAACAGTGTTGGGTGACACCAGGCTTCCTCCTGGCTCTGCTGTCTGGAATTACTCCTGGCAGTACCTGGGGGTGGGGGATGGGGGTGGGGCGTATAGGGTGCCAGGGATTGAACCTGTTTCATCTGAGTGCAAGGCAAACGCCCTACCTTGTACCATCACTCCAGCCCTTCCACTCTGTTTTAAAAAGTAAAGCTGTTTTATAACTTTAAATATTTACTCTTTTGTGGATCTCCTCATTGCCATCCAAAACCCATGCTCCACCCAATAGTGTACTTTGAGTTGCTTTGGAGACCGGCCCCCCCCCAAGTCAAAGTTGGCAGCTGCCCTGCCCTCCCCTGGTGCCCACGCCCACGGCGGCCACCCCCGCCCCGGATGCCTTTCAGGGACCCACCCCGCACTGGGGGTGTGTGTGGGGGGGAGCTTCTTGCTTTCCACCAGGTGCTTTTCCAGAGACTAATCAGAGGACATTCATTTTTCATGTGAGTCAAACTTTCTTCTTCTGTATGATTCAAAAAAGTAGCGAAACCGGTCAGCGGCCACAGTCACTCGAGGGTGTTGAGGTGGAGGAGAAGCAGCTGAGGCCGCCAGACACACAGCTAGAACAGTGACACACCATGGAGAACAGAGAAAGCTGGAGAGGGATGCAGAGAAGGGGCTCCTTTTTGCAGATCTGCAGATTCCCAGGGGCCACTAACCTCAAAGTCAGCCAAGGCCGGGGCCGAGGCGTCAATGAGCACGACAGGATGGATGGAGAGAGAACGGGGAGAAGTCATTTCTTGGGGGGTTGCAGAAATGGCTGTCTTCCGGTTTTCCCACACCACAGCCCAGGTTCAAATAACCCGGGCAGATGCCATCTACTCCTAGGCCACTCAGGAGGTGGGTTCCGCTGGGGATCAGGGAGGCTGTCCCCGAGGTTGGGGCGGGGGGTATGTTTTCCCTACAAATCATTGGCAACGCTCCTTAGAGTGATTCAAAATGAATGGCCATCTAGCCAAAAATTTGCAAATCTACTGCAGACCTACAAGCACATATCAATCAAAATATCTACACAGAAACTTCAGGGAAATGGCACACTTAAAATATTCAACAGCAGAATGTTTCAGCAAAGCCATGCTAAAAATTACAGCAGCGTCTTGAGAAGCATGGATGAATTGCGTTTTTTCCAAAGAGACATAACGAGAAAAAAAAAATGAAATAAGAAAAAAAAAACACTAATGTCATGAGTAAAACTCTGAGGATATAATAAACCAAAACTGTCACTGAAGGATTTTGCAGATGACAAAGCAGTATCATTCACTGTCCAAGACCTTACTTGCTGGTACAGTTGTGGTCTTAGCGCCGAGTTCTCAATCATTGTGTGAACCATGGTGATAATAGGTTCATTCTCTTTCATCTATTTCAAATCAGGAGGAGCATACAGCAAACGTCAGTTTACAGCATGGCTAGATTTGAAAGACGACACTGTAAATATAGCCTCTACTGCAATATCGTCCTAACAGTGCAGCTGCATACATTTCACCCCACGGTCGTACCAAGTTAGACTACAGAAACCATTTTCAAACACGTATTAAGAGTTGCAAAATACACGGAAGGTCATAAAGAAAGCTTACGAATTGCACCATCACTCTACGTTTTGCATTGGCAGTATTTTCAACGGTCAATCAATGAAGATGGCAACACAGACTGAGACAGACTGGGCTGCACGGTGACTCAAGGGATAAACGAAAGGGATGCAGGAGAGGAACTTAAAATGAGAGGAACAGCACAACGTGATTTCTTATTCAGAACAAACTTAAATAGCATTCAATTTTGTATAAGGCTAATACAAATACTGAGCTCTTTACAATAACAAAAACTTACATAAGTAACTCGTATTACTTAAACGCATACTTCATAAGTGTCAATCCTGAGAGGCTTTCTGATACATGCTTTCTTTTGGATTTTCTTATTAGTTTAACGACCATCTCTAGAAATATTTCAGGAACATGCAAGCTCAATTTACTTAGCAAAAACTCAGTGTATCTTCTTTCCGAGCTCAAAAAAAAAAAAAAGAAAAAAGAAAAAAAGGTTGATGCTTCACATTTCCAGCTATGTTGCACTTAATTACTGCCTCGAGGAAAACATTTGTTTTAGTAGGGTCTGAACTCAAGAGTTAGAGCATTCAAAAGATAATCATCATGAGCGACAGAGTAAAAGGCCAACAACGTTTGCTACAGAGCAAACAAGTTAACTGCAATTAGTGACATTCTGTTTATATGATTTTCAACTTCCATTTATAGAGATTGAGATTTTTTTTTTTCCACACAGCAAATGCAAACTTGGATTTTGCTTCTCAGTACATACATTAACCCTAAGAGTCATATATAAGTAAAGTGAAAAATCCTGAAGACTGTGTACTTAGGCAATCTTATTTTCTAGACTAGTCAGCAATTTCTCACTTTCTAAGATGTTTTATCAAGCTTGACACCTCCCCTCCCCCGCCCACTTCCCCATCCGTGTGTAGTCTAATCTACTTTTAAGAAGTTTTATTCAGGATACATTAATACATCAATTTTAAATGCTGTGTTCAGGGCTCACTCCCTGGTGCTCAGGAAACCCTGTGACGCTTGGGCTGGAAACAGGGTGGGCTGTGTGCAGGACAGTACCCGAGCCCTTCTCTCTCCCCTGCCCAGGTCTCTGGCTTCTGACAGACCCCCCCCAACCCCCCGACACATTCCCCCCCACGGTTCCTTCCCTCTATGCCCCAACTCCCTCGTTCCCCAGGATCAGTGACTTCTGTTACCATCAAACAGCCTTTCCTGTGAGAACAGCTCATCAACTGAATTGCAAGGGAGCTGGTACCACCATCCAGAAAACCCAAGCCTCCCCCCTCCCCCCCTCCCCCACTCACCCTTACCCAAATAAGGGATCCAAGCATATTTAGGCGACATCTTCCACACAGAATTCACACGTATGTTGATATGCAGAGCAGAGGCGACTATGGCAGTGGAGAGTAACTTCATTATCAAGGGAGTGACAAGGCAGCAGGGAGGGTACCTGTGTGGTGACTCACCCGTTTCAGTCTCTGGTGCCACATATGGTCCTTCAGTGACCCCTGAGTCCAGAGCCAGGAGTAAGCCCTGGGCACTGCCTCCTCTCCCTGCCCCATCCCCTTTGCCCCCAACCTCAAGTACAAAAATTTTTTTTTTTCCTTTTTGGGTCACACCCGGCGATGCACAGGAGTTACTCCTGGCGGTGCTTAGGGGACCACATGGGATGCTGGGAATTGAACCTGGGTTGACCGCGTGCAAGGCAAACGCCCTACCCACTGTACTATCACTCCAGCCCCATCAAGTACAAAATTTTCTTTAGGGAAAAGAAAAAAAATGGACAGAGCTCTAAGATCTACGCTTTTTATTTTTTCTTTTTTGGGTCATACCCAGCGATGCACAGGGGTTACTCTTGGCTCTGCACTCAGGAATTACTCCTAGTGGTGCTCAGGGGATTGTATGGGATGCTGGGGATCAAACCTGGGTCAGCCGCCACAAGCAAGGCAAACGCCCTCCCTGCTCCAGCCCAGAACTATGTTTTTGGCCAAACCTGGCAACGTGCAGGGCTTACTCCTGGCTCTGTGCTCAGGGATCCTACCTGTGGGGCTTGTGAGTCTACGGAACTGGGTTGGCTGCTCAGGAAAGTACCTTATCTGCTGTTCTGCCTGGCCAGGTACTGTGTCACTTCAGATGTCAATCCTGTACCTGCAGGCCACACTTTCTAGCATTATTTAATGACAACAGGAGCACAGTAGTAACAGTAGCCAGATGTAAAACCTTGTACCCTAAGTGGGCGGTGTGTCAGGTGGCTGGACAACCACTGAGATTAATGCCCAGAGCCCAGGCTGGGGAGCTGACTCACATGTGGATTTTTTTTTTTGCTTTTTGGGTCACACCCAGCAATGCACAGGGGTTATTCCTGGCTCTGCACTCAGGAATTACTCCTGGCGGTGCTCAGGGGACCATAATGCCTGAGTGAAGAGGCAGGAGTAAACCCTGTGCATCGCCAGGTGTGATCCAAAAAGCAAAAAAAGGAAAAAAAAATGCCTCTTTAATACACATGTCAAAGTTATGAAGTATCAATGAACAATCTTTGCAAAATCTTCCCAGGAACAGAAAAACTAAAAACAAACAAAAAAGACCTTTTTAAAATGGGTAAACTACTGAATATCTCAGCTGACTTCTAGAATGGGCTACTTTTTTATTTTATTTTTTTTAATTTTTGGGTCCCACCCAATGATGCTCAGGGGTTACTCCTGACTCTGTGCTCAGGGGGACCATATGGGATGCTGGGAATCAAACCCGGTCGGCCGCATGCAAGGCAAACGCCCTACCCGTTGTGCTATCGCTCCAGCCCTGAATGGGCTACTTTTTATTCTAAAATTTTTTCCAACACAAGTATCAAAACTAGAATATTAAAATTAGAAGACATTCTTGGAAGTCAAAATTTTCATGGCAGAGGGCCAGTTGAGAGAGCCAGAATTCAGGTTTCGAATTCTCTCACACCCACCACACAGACTCCTGCCACATCCGCTTTATCACCAGCAGGACCCAGAATCAGGCCTGCGTCTCCCCTCTCCGAAGTCCTTCTGGAACTTTCTAGAACTGAATACTTAGAGGCTGACTGACCTACTTCCACAGCTTACACAGGAAGGGCCCATTCTACCTGGCTTTGCTGCATAAATGTACGACTTAGGAAAATGAAAATATGTAATGCTCCAAGAACACATCAGCATCCCGTGCTCCAGTTATAAAAACAAACCACCTACCAGCACCGAAAGAACACCCGGAGGTCGAACAATTCCCTTCTGGTTGGAGTATGGGAACTTTGTGAACTGTGATGGATTTTGTGTTAAGGAACCAGAGGAAAAGACTAATTAGTATGTGGAGGAAGCTTAATAGTGTATTTGGAAATGAGCTAAATGCTTTGCTTCCTGCTTTAATTCCAGCTTTGAACTAACAGGTAATAAGGGTTTAGGTTTCGGCTAATTGCTAAATGGGAAAGCTATTCTAAAAGGCCCACTATTTTATAAATATAAAGAAATGAGAACATCATTCACATGCTACACTATTTTCATCATGAATTTCAGCAATAAATAAGAGAACATAAACAGGACCCATTAGGCATCTACGTAGGTGATGCCAATCAGTTTCAATAACTGCATACTACTCGCACCTGACATTTTAAGGTCCAAATGCTTAAAGGACCTGGAACATCTGACATAGGCTCCTAGTCTTTTCTGTTCCCCACGCCCCCATGCTTTTTGGGTCATACCCAGCGATCCACAGGCTGGCTCTGCACTCAGGAATTACTCCTGGTGGTGCTCAGAGGGGACCATGTGGGATGCTGGGAATTGAACCCGGGTCGGCCACATACAAGGCAAATGCCCTACCTGCTGTGCTATCACTCCAGCCTCCGTCTTTTCTATCTTGAGGTATGCCGGGCAGACAGAAACATGGGACACATCAGAGAACTCATCACCACCAAGAAGTATCCTTTTTCTGTAGGTGCTAAAACCCTGGGCTTAACCTCACCCCAGCTGGGTCCATGCTCGAAGCTGGGACCCCTTTGATGTGCCATCAGCAGCAGCCTCCATGCCTGCCTCCCACCCAACACACATGCAAACACACACACACACACACATGCACGCACGCACACACACACACACAAACAAACACACACACACACCAGTAATCTAACAGCCAGAGAATCTATTTCTTAAGAATGTCCTGTCTGTGTCAATCAGCTCTGGCAAAATGCAACAATCACAACACACACACACACACCAGTTGTCTAACAGCCAGAGAATCTATTTCTCAAGAACGTCCTGTCTGACTGTGGCCTCATAGGATGGGGTAACCAGCACGTCCTTCTCGCCCTGCCGAGACCACGAACTGCCCCCCACAAGCGGCTCTCTGGCATGGCCATGGACCCAGAGGTACACAAACCAATCTCGAATCTATGCGGCTTTTGGCAGAAATCCCTCCAGACTTCATTAGTAAAATATCAGAAATCCAAAATCGTGTGGCTGCTATTGTGGCCGCGTGACATCGTATGGTCTTTATAACCAGCAATAGAAAACAAATTACTTCATGATGCCTTTTCACCAGGTCTGATTGTTGGGGTAAAATTCCAAATAATAATGGTGCTTCTTTTGTCAAAATAACGAATGTAATCAAAGTAGAGAGAGTTAAGTGGAAGTCATCTGCTCACAGGCATGGGAAGGAGTGGGATGGGGATATATTGGGGATCTTGGTGGTGGAAAATATGCACTGGTGAAGGGATGGGTGTTTGACCATTGTATGACTGAGACTGAAACCTGAAAGCTTTGTAACTGTTCTCACAGTGATTCAATAAATAAAT